AGACTAATCAATAGACCAGATAATAGAATAGTCAATAGAATTATCTATATACTAGTCGAAAGAGTAATGCAGTCAATAGACTAGCCAAAAGACTACTCACAATAGTACTCCAGAGACTACTCAATAGACTAGTCCATAGACTACTAACTAGACTAGTCTATAGACCATAGACTAATCAATAGGCAAGTCCATAGGCTAATAAATAGACTTGTCCATAGACTAGTTAATAGACTTGTCCATTGACTAGTCAATAGACTTTTCCACATACTAGTTAATAGACTTGTCCATGGACTATTCACTAGACTAATAACTAGACTAGTGTAATCATAGACTAATAAATAATGACTAGTCAATAGACTTGTCAGTTCTTAGTTTAGTCCATATATTAGTCATAGACTACTAACTAGACTAGTCATTAGACTACAGACTAGTCAAAAGAAATGTCCATAGGCTGATCAATAGATCAGACAATAGAATAATTGACTAGTTAATTGGCTAGCCAAAATAGACTTGTTCATAGACTAGTCAATATACCATTCCATAGACTATTCACTAGACTAACCCATATACTAATGACTATACTAGTGTAATCATAGACTGTTCAATAATGACTAGTCAATAGACTAGTCCAATTTAATCAATAGTGACTAGTCCATAGACTAGTAAATAAACATAGACTTTAGTATATTGACTAGTCCATAAATACATTAAATAGAGCTATCCATGGACTAGTCCAGCAATCCATGGACTAGTCCAGGCAATAGGCTAGGCAATAATTCAGGAATTTGTTCCATATTTTAATAAATACTCTCAAAGCTCAACACTCCCTCAAAATTTTCAAAATTCTTCGACTTTTTTGTATAACTAACACGTGTCTAATTCAATACAACATTTTAGGTCTATAACAATTTAATTGCCATAAATGTTAACTATTCTGCAGACTTTTTTACATTTTTATTTTATTAATAAAATAAAAGATATAAACTTGTTTTCCTACCCCTTAAAGAAACAATTTCAAATCTACTATAAAGATAGCAAAAGTCTGCATTTGTTCAATAAATATTTTTTTTAAATATTTACATAATTCGTTTACAACCCATTTTTTCAGTTTGTTTAACTTGGATTTGCATATTGTCATATACATATATGACAATCAAATAAAAAATTAATACATACATATACATATGCATTTTGCAGATACTGTAGTTTATAAATATGGAAAAAATTGTTTACTTAATTAAGTCGTTTTTTATGTGTGGGTGCAAACAAATAATGTTTAAAAAAAATTACAAAAAATATACAAAAATAAATGTAAATAATTTCTGCTTGGTGGCAGCCTTAAAAAAAATTAAAAATTGAAACAAGTAAGAAATTATAGTCGGGCGTGGCCGACCATATGATACCCTACACCAGTTATGAATATTAAATGTGATTTATTTTTCATAATAAAGCATTTATCTTCAATATTCCCTTGTTCCGATACATTTAAGCAATTTATGGATGAAAAACTAATTTTCTGACAGAGGCTTTATATGGGGGCTAGGGGCAAATATGGACCAAGCCCGATAAAATTTTGTGAATATATTTATATTGACATAATATTTTATTGTGCTGAATTTCATCGCGATATTTGTGTTTATAAGCTAATTTGGGACATTCAAGTAATTTTCTGAAGGGGACTTTGTATGGGAGCTAGGGTCAAATGAGGCCCGATCTTTATGAAATTTGGCAGGGTCATCAAGAATTCTATAAAACTTAGTTGTGCCGTATTTTATCGATATATATGTATATTTAACATAATTATGAGCTCAGAAGCCCTTTTCGGGGGGTTCTGTTCTATGGGGGCTAGGTGAAATAATGGACCGATCTTAACCATTTTCAATAGGCTTCGTCCTTAGCTAAAATAAAACGTGCGTGCCAAATTTCATCCAATTATCTTGAAAATTGCGACCTGTACCTTGCGCACAAGGTTTACATGGACAGCCAGCCAGCCAGCCAGCCAGCCAGACGGACGGACGGACGGACGGACGGACATGGCTTAATCGACTGAGAAAACGATTCTAAACCGATTGGTATACTTTAAGGTGGGTCTAGGACGAATATTTTTGTATGTTACAAACATCAGCACAAATCCAATATACCCTCCCCACTAAAGTGGTGTAGGGTATAAAAATACTTGATTGCAAACGTTTAAGAAAATGTCTAAAAATATTTTATGTTATTAAAGCGTTTTATGGTGTAAAATTAAAAAAATTTGTCTGCTCACTGGTATTTGTGTTTTTGAGATATAAAGGTTATAGTCGTAAGAAATATAAAATTATGTTGGTAATGCAAATACAGAAAATCTATTATTTTTTAAAACCTTCTTTTTTCCATTAAAAATAATTTATTTTTATTTATTTTCTATAGAAAATTATATTCTTTATTGACCTGTTTTCAATTTTTTTCTAAACCGGAAATTTTTAAAATATAATTGATGGCTTTCAAATTGTTGAGATTTAAAAAATACCGCCTTACAAACTTTAAACATTTAAATACCGGTAAAACCTATTAAATTTTCTTTAATTTATTTCTAATCAAAAGAACAAACAGATTCTTTTTTCATTCAAATAGAACAAATTACCAAAATTTTCCATTCTTTTAGAAAATTAAAAATAACATTAACAAGTGTTTTTTTCAAATTTGATTGTTTCCCTCCTCATTTTCATAATAATACTTTGTTTCTTTGTTATTGGTTACGACCCCCCCTTTTTGCCTGAATAAGGTTTAACACACAGGTATAAAATAGTTATCTTTCAAATTCTATTATTTTGTTTTGAAATCATTCAAATCTATAGAAGATTAATGTGGTAAAATAACAATTCCCATAAATACATTATGGTTTTAGTTTTTCTTAGTAGAAAAAGAATCAAAAAAAAAAAAAAAAAAAAAAAGAACTCACACACTTAGAATCTAATTGGAAATTTAAACCTTTAACTTTGTAATAGAATAAATATAAATTACACCATTTTCGATAAAATTTTAGAAGAAAAAAATTTTTTAATTTGAACTATATGAAAAAACTCGCGATTTTATCACGAGTTTGATACAACATTTCTATAAAAGAGAACATTTATCGAAAACTTTTATAAAAGAATGACATATATTGAAACAAGTGAAGAAAATTTATCTATAGAAAAAAAATTTATTGAAAATTTTCTATAGAAAGAGAATTTCATCGAAATCAAACAATTTCTATAGAAAGAGAATTTCATCGAAAGAGAATTTCATCAAACATCTTCCATAGAAAGAGAATTTCATCTATAAAAAGAAAATTTTGATCGAAAATTTTCTATAAAAAAAAATTTTGATCGAAAATTTTCTATAAAAAAATTTTTGATCGAAAATTTTTTATAAAATTAAAATTTTGATCGAAAATCTATAAAAATGAATGTGTGTTTATTTGTTTGTGGGTTTGTTTGTTTGTATATCTGGAAGGAACTATAGGCTACTTTTTATTTTAAAATTTCAAGTAGGCGAGTTGCCACGCCTACTTATTTAATAGCTATTAAAAGTCATATATCTTGGAAACTGGTACAATTAGAGTTCTCAAATTTTGCATGGACAACTTTGACATCCATAAGAATATTTTTTTGACAAAATGGGCGGAATAACTATAGTGGGCGTGGCATCTTCCATATTAAGAAAATATTAAATCAGTATATCTCGGAAAATGTAACAGTTAGAGCCCTCAAATTAGGTCGGAGCCACATAAGTCGCAATGTGATTAGTTAGGATAAAAAGTGGGCGAACTAGCAGCAGGGGCGTGGCACCTCCTTAATTAAATACACAAATTCGTTTATCTTGGAAACTATTAGAGTTAAAAGCTTCCAATTTTGCAAGAAGAACTTTAGCATCCATGGAAATATTTTAGGTAATAAATTGGCGGACTACCAATGGGGGGAGCGGCACCTCCCATATGAATTAAATATAACAAAATATTTTATCTAAGAAACTAATAGAACTAGATTCCAAAAATTTTGCAAAAAGGACTTTCATATTTATCTGAACATTTTGGGGGAAAAAAAGCGCACTTTCATCAGGAGGTGGCTTGGAACCCCTATATGAATTATATAGAAAAATTTTTATATCTGAGATACTGTAGAAGCTAGAATCTTCAAATTTTACATGAAGAACTTTGACATTCATGGGAACATTTAGAGAAAAAATTTCAATGGGGGGATTGGCCCCTCACATATTAATTAAATTCGGAAAAATTGGCGAACTTGCAATAATTTGAGTGGCAAAGCACACTGGGTATAGCTAGTTTTCTATAAAAAGAGAATTTTGATCGAAAATATTATATAAAAGAAAATTTTAATCGAAAATTGTCCATAAAAAGAAAATGTTGACCGAAAATTTTCTAAAAAAAGAAAATTTTTACCGAAAATTTTCTATAAAAAAAATTTTGACCGAAATTTTCTATAATAAAATATAGAAATTTTGACCGAAAATTTTCTATAAAAAGAAAATGTTGACCGAAAATTTTCTATAAAAAGAAAATGTTGACCGAAAATTTTCTATAAAAAGAAAATGTTGACAGAAAATTTTCTATAAAAAGAAAATGTTGACCGAAAATTTTCTATAAAAAGAAAATGTTGACCGAAAATTTTCTATAAAAAGAAAGTGTTGACTGAAAATTTTCTATAAAAAGAAAATTTTGACCGAAAATTTTCTATAAAAAGAAAATTTTGACCGAAAATTTTCTATAAAATGAAATTTTTTATTAAAATTTTTTATAAAAATAAAATTCTGATTGTAAATTTTCTATAATAAGAATTTTAAGATATAACTGCCCTTAACTTCCCTTGGAAATGGTGTTTAAAAGCTAACAACACTCTCAAGGCAGTCAGACCTTAAATCCCAAATTCAAAAATTACTACAAAAACATTAAAGCAAAGAAAACAAATTATTGTATTGTCTAGTTAAAAAAAAAATAGAAATAACAATAAGAAACTTACCAGTATTTGAGTGTAATGAATTTGAAGCGGTTGTTGAGCTAGAAGCTGAAGAAGATGAGGCTGAAGATGATGATGATAATTCATCTAGAGAAGTAGAAGATGGATTTGTTAAAGGCGAAGTTGTTGTTGTTGTTAATATTGGGGCCGCATCTACAGCAGCGGCAGAGTCTGTTGTGGAAGACATAAAAGTCATTGAACTATCGTTATTCATTTCAGTTGGTATTGTTGTTATTGAAGCCTGAGCTGAAACTGAAGCTGGTGTTGTTGTTGTTGTTGCTATTTCTAAAGTTTTAGCCTCAACATCCATTTCTATAACATCATCTAGACGATTGATGTTGGCCTCTGTATTAGTGTTGGAATTGACAGACGACGAAGCATCAACATTATCAGCGTTGGTGTTATTGTTTTGCAATGTTGGCATCATTGTAACGGCTGCAACTTCATTTATTGTTTGCAAAGCTGGTGTTGTTGTTATTGCTACAAATTCTGTTGTTACTGCCGCTGCTGTAGCTGATGATTGTGAGCCATCAGTAACATCATTTGTTACATTATTGTTATTATTATTTGCATCATCGTTGTTGGCTGGTGCTGCTTGAGTTTGAATGCCACCACATAAAAGTGTAGCACAAATTAAGGCAACCATAAAACATGATGTTGATGAAGATGATGCTGTGGTTAACGCTGTCGGAGATTTTCTACGTTTACTTGTTGTTAACATTTTCGTGAATTATATTTATGTTGTTGTTGCTGTTGTTGACCGTAGTATATTCTCTTAACAATTTTCTTCTTTTATATAATTTTTGTTTTCTTGTTAAATCTAATTTTCACTAGACTTTAATTTATTGATGATTTTTATTTCTTTTTTTATATATTATATTATTTCGTTTCGTAACTAGGAAGTTTACACTTTTGTTTTGTTTCTTTTTTATTACTTTTACAAGTATAATTTTAAATAAAAACCAAGTAATTTAAATTTTTTATATATATATAACACATTAAGTTTGTGTTAACTACCAAATTTTAGTTTTGTTTAAGGGCTCATGTTGCTAAAAAAAATAAGAAAAAATTATTATACAAAATTTATTACCATAATTTTCATAAAAATAATTAATTTTTTTTCAATGATTTCAAATCAATCATCTGCTTTAGTTTAAAACTAAAACCTTGGCCTAGTTTTTTTGTCGCAAAGTCATAAACTTTTAAATTAAATTTCATTACGTTTTAATTAATTTAATTATCATAGTTTAATCATTGTGTGAGTATATGGTAAATAAATTGTTATCACTTGTTTTTTTTTTTTTTCAAAAAAGTCATTTCCGTTTGATATTTATCTCAACTTAGCTGACAATGTCAATTAACAAATTACGGTTTTTTATTGATCAATTAGAAATATAATAGACCATGAATATTTGAAATTAAACAATCATTTTAAAATGTTAAAATTGTGATTTTATTGCAGATTTCAAATGGCAAACATTTTGTTCAAATTCTGTAACTATTCTGAAAACAAACAATATATTGTTATTATAGCTTTTTTTTTATAATAAAACACTTTTTTAAAAGAGAAAATTTAAGATTTAAAGAAATTTTTCTATAAAGAGAAAATTTATTGAAAAGTTCCTATAAGAGGGCCTTGTGAAACCTTGTTGTTAATAAAATCTATTTTAAGATCGGTAATATGATTATGACATTTCGCTCTAGGTAAAACAATCGACGGACTGAATTTGTTATTTTCGTTAGAAGTTATAATTTCCCAGAATTTCGAATGGATGATATAGTTTTGGAGTTTTCAAATATATATTAATCTTAGGTTATAAGCTCTCCTGAAAACGTATTATTGCAAGAATCCCATCTGAAAGAGATAGAGACTTAAACCTTACATTATGCGCTTGCTAAGGTCGAAATGTATTTTCAATTGCATTCACTCCCATTATGTCGAAAGGATTGTTCAATTAGGGAAAATTAAATAGGCATTGAAACAGAATACTCATATTCCTCTGGCTGTGGTAACGAACGTGATCGATTTAAAATTGGAACTCAAACATTTGAAATGCTCTGGCCTGGAAAATATTTGAAATGTTCTGACTATGTCTTTAACGAAAAAGGACCATACAAATTAAATGGACAAATCTTGGTCTCGGTTTTTAAATTCGTTAAGACTTGTCAGACGAGTGTCAGTCCGTATGGTATATCCATGAAACAGTTATTGCAGAAGGGAACGATAAGGGCGACAGGTTTCTTGCTTAAGTCTTTTGTTTTTTTTTATGTAATAGTCCCGTTTTACAAGAATCATTTATTGAACATTTTCTTTAAAACGATCTCTAACGGAAATTTTCTATAAAACGATCTCTAATGAAAATTTTCCATAAAACGATCATTTATCGAAATTTTTCTATAAAACGATCACAAATCGAAAATTTTTTATAAAACTATAGTTTATCGAAAATATTCTATAAAACGACAATTTATCGAAAATTTCTATAAAACTATCGTTTATCGCAAATTTTCTTTAAAACGGTCATTTATAAAAAGTTTTCTATAAAATGATCGTTTATCGAAAATGTTCTATAAAACGATCGTTTATCGAAAATTTGCTATAAAACTATCATTTATAAATAATTTTCTATAAAACGATCATTTATAGAAAATTTCTATAAAACTATCGTTTATCGCAAATTTTCTATAAAACGGTCATTTCTAAAAAGTTTTCTATAAAATGATCGTTTATAGAAAATGTTCTATAAAACGATCATTTATCGAAAATTTTCTATAAAACGATCATTTATCGAAAATTTTTTATAAAACGATAATTTATAAAAAGTTTTCTATATTAAAATGATCATTTATAAAAAGCTTTCTATAAAATGATCGTTTATCGAAAATTTACTATAAAATTACATTTATCGAAAATGTTCTAAAAATGATGAAAATATATATAACGATCATTTCTCGAAAATTTTCAATAAAACGAACGTTTATCACAAATTTTCTATAAAACGATCATTTATAAAAAGTTTTCTATAAAATGATCGTTTATCGAAAATGTTCTATAAAACGATCATTTATTGAAAATGTTCTATAAAATTATCATTTATTGTAAATTTTCTATAAAACGATCATTTATCGGAAATTTTCTATAAAATGATCATTTATAGAAAATTTTCTATAAAACCACCATTTTTCAAAAAATTTTTATAAAACGATCATATATCAAAAATCTTCTATAAAACGATCATTTATCGAAAATTTTTTATAAAACTATAATTTATCGAAAATTTTCTATAAAACGACAATTTATTGAAAAGTTCTATAAAACGATCGTTTATCGCACGTTTTCTATAAAACGAACATTTATAAACAACTTTCTATAAAATGATCGTTTATCGAAAATTTTCTATAAAACGATAATTTATCGAAAATGTTTTTATAAAACGATCATTTATCCAAAATGTTCTATAAAACGATCATTTATTGAAAATTTTCTATAAAACGATCATTAATTTAAAATTTTCTATAAAAAGATCATTTATCGAAAATTTTCTATAAATCAATCATTTATCGAAATTTTTCTATAAATCGATCATTTATCGAAAATGTTCTATTAAACGATCATTTATCGAAAATGTTATATAAAACGATCATTTATCGAAAATGTTCTATAAAACGATCATTTATCCAAAATGTTCTATAAAACGATTATTTATTGAAAATTTTCTATAAATCGATCATTTATCGAAAATTTTCTATAAATCGATCATTTATCGAAAATTTTCTATAAAACGATCATTTATCGAAAATTTTCTATAAAACGATCATTTATCGAAAATTTTCTATAAAAAGAAAATTTATCGCTAATTTTCTATAAAAAGAAAATTTATCGGAAATGTTATATAAAAAGAAGATTTATCTCAAAATCTATTCATATTTTACTTTAAAAATGGAATCTAGACAGAACTTTTTGATATTTTTCTCTTAAGAGAGAAATTTTTAAAAATAATTTCATTTTAATCTCAGAGATTTTTTGGTTTTATTAAAAAACTGACAACTTATTGTTGAATTTTTATTGAATTTTTATAAAAATATGCAAAAATTAATCCATTTATTTTAAATTTGTTTAAGATTCATTGTTTTTCGCATGAATTTATTAATTTAAAATAATAAATTGTTTGTTTGAAATTTTCTTATTAGAATCAAACAGGTTTCTTGCTTAAGTCTTTTGTTTTCACTAACGTATGTTTTTCTTTATTATTTTTTTTTTCGACAAATCTTTTTATTTGATAATTTCTATTGTTTGTTTTTCAATTTGTAAATAAATACAAAAAAACAAGTTTGTGTCTTAGATCTTTTGTTTTAGGCATAGAAATAATGATTTCACTAACTGTGGTTTTAGTTAGAAGATCTTTAAGTGTACACATTTTTTTAGGAAATTTTGCGATATGTTTTTTCTAAACGCCCACGTTTTATTACAATTTCAAACATTTTGTTGTAATTTCATATTTAAAATTTCTTTACTTTAAGGTTCATTAATTCATTAATTCTTAGAAATATTTTTTTTAAATATACATATTGTTTAAGTTTGCCAAGCAAAACAAGTTTATTGCTTAAGTCTTTCGTTTTCACTTAAGTTATTTTTTTTCGTATTGTTTTTTCTTTACACCACCATGATAATCAACAAATTCCTCTAGACATAGTTTGACACAACGAAAATATTGTATTTTATATAAAATAAAAACAATTAATTAATGCTAAAATATTAAAAATTCTCTTCTATAAAAGTCACCAGAAGAACCGGTTTCGTTTTTAAAGAAAAAAACCGAAAAGTTTTTAGTTTCATAAGAAAATACTTAAAGGAACTAAACATGGCATCAAATGGTAACTTTTTTGTTGTTGTTGTTATATTTTGTCGTTGGTGTAGTTTGTGTGTTTTTTGTTGGTTGGTTTATTTTGGCTGTATGTGTTGTTGTTTTTTTTTTTTTTGCTGTCTTTTTTTTTTGTAAAGTTATGTGAACCTACAAACAGCTGCAAAATGTACAACCAAATTTTATTTTCATTTTGGTTTTATTTTATTTAATAAATGTACTAAATTAGTAAAGCAAGTTTTTTTTTTTTTGTTATTGTGTATTTTTGGGTGATTTTGAAATGTAAGTTGTTAAGTAATCATTGACATGTATTTATTTTTTAAAATAAATGAAAGTGAATTTTATTTATTTTCTTAAGCAAACTTTAATTTTTATTCAATTTTGCACTTTAGTTTTATTTAACATTTTCTTTATATTTTTTATATACTTTATAAGTTTTAAATTATTTCACTTTATTGTTTCACAATTTTTATAGGTTTTTGTTCACCTTATTTGCATTTTAGTTATTATTTCTTTATGTTTTTTTTTATAAAATAATTTCTTATATAAAATATCTTTAAAATTTATTTCAATATATTTTTTATTACCACTTAATTTTTTGAAATTCTTTTGTTACCCGTTTTAACGCCCGTTATCGTACAAGCTTTATAATCGACTGAAGTTGTTTGTATAGACTGTTAAGCGTTGGCCAGTAATCAACCAATCTAACTGAGATTTCTCTATTGGCAAATTAAGAAAATACACCTCAATATTATTAAATTCACCACTTACCTTCTTTTTGTGTTTTTCTTTTCAGCTTCTTTATTTGGACTGTTTCCACTTTGGCCACGTTTCAACTTGAGCAGAGTTTTTGTATTGTTAAAAGAGAAAGAGTAAAAAAAAAAACACCACTAATACTTACTAACACTTTACCTTAAGTTAAACCAACTCCTAGTAATGGTGTGCAGTGTGCTCAGAAAGTATTTGTACAATCTGTTTGGAGATTTGAAGGAATAAAATGTAAGTTTTTCTTTTGTATATTTGATTTTGTTACTTCATCTAGAGTCGATGAAAATATTGGTTTTAGATCCCAAAAATGTAACCATTCATCAGTCCATATACATACCTGTTCCTCCATATGTCTGTTGCAACTACTTTAAAGTCCGAAAGGAAGGAGCTAACATACTGAAACTTTTTATTTTTTATTAATTAGATTTGTTTCCACTTATCGTCCTGAAGATTTCGTATAACCGAGTATAACTCTCATTCTTGTTATATAATGAACTTTTGCTAAATTGTCCATAGACTAGACAATACATTAGCTAATGGGCAATGGTCCAGACCTTACACATTTCATGGGCTCTTTATGTAGTTGTTAATAGACTAGTCCATAGGTTCATCTATAGAGTTATCAATGGCCTAGTCCATGGAATAGCCAATAGTCTTGACCATAGAATTGTCAACATAGAATTAGTCTATAGACTAGTCCCTAAACTTGTCATGAGCTTTTTATGAAGTAGTTAATAGTTATACACTAGTCAATAGACTAGTCTAATCTATAGAATTGTCAATGGACTATTCCATACAATAGTCAATAGTCTAGTCCATATGCTAATCCATAGACTTGTCAATAGAGAATTAGACTAAAGATTTTAAACTAATCCATAGGATTGTCAATAGACTAGTCCATAGTTTTAGTGGCCAATTATCTAGTCCATAAACTATTCAACAGTCTAATCACATAAACTAGTCAATAGACTAATCCATAGACTAGTCAATAGACTAGTCCATAGACTAGTCAATAGACTAGTCAATAGACTAGTCCATAGACTAGTCAATAGACTAGTCCATAGGCTAGTCAATAGACTAGTCCATAGACTAGTCAATAGACTAGTCCATAGACTAGTCAATAGACTAGTCCATAGACTAGTCCATAGACTGGTCCATAGACTAGTACATAGACTTGACCATTGACTTGCCCATACACTAGTCAATAAACTAGTCAATAGACTAGTCTATAGACTAGTCAATAAAACTCTTAAAATTTATTCTGAATTATTTTGAAAATAAAAAAAATCTCCCTTTTTTCAACAAACTCTCTTCACACACTGTATTTTTCTACGATCAATGGTTATGAACATGCATGCACTTTTCATTAGATATCAAAATAAAACACAACAACAAGAAGAAAAAAATCACGCAATAGTTCAATATTCAAAAACATGACTAAACCCAACAACTATAACAACAAGAATAATATAAAGCAACAGGTTTAAAACTGTAATAGACAATTGAAGCAGTAGAGGGGTAACAAATATGACATAAATTGAAAAACTAGCAAAAGAGAGAGTGAAAAAGTGGTGAATTATAAATTTTCTCTCAAAACAATCGAATAATGAGCTGTAATAAAGGTGTATAGAGTACGTTAGAGTTTTTTTTTAATTCAAAATCTAATTGGAAAAAATATAGATTTTTTATAGGTTTATAGTTGTTGGTGTTTTTTTTTTTTTTTTTTTTTTCATTAAACAATTAATAGCTTTTATATTTTTTTATTAACACTTTAACAAAGTATTTTATTTACTCTATATTTTTGTGGTTTAAAAAAATACTTTTATTTTTTTCAGTTTTATTGTCAGATACTTTTATGAATTTGGATTTGTAATGCTATTTAAAAAGAAACAATGCAGTTTAGCTGGCGGCTAAACTGCCTTGACAAAAGAACCAACCCAAAAATTGTTGAAATATTATATTTATATATTCTATTGAATCCTTTTTTACTCTAAATACTTGAACTTAAATAAACTCTTTTAATTTTAAACAATAAATGCTTTGAGCTGAAAAAAAAAATTATATAAATAGTGAATTAGCATTTTATCTTAGTAGATTTCTAACGAGAAATTTGAAAGTTTGAAAATCTTGAATCAAATGATAATCTGATATATTTAAGTGACATAGTGACATATACTAATGAGTCAAATTTCTGGCAACGTAGGGACTCCACGCCTAAAGAACCGCTCATCTTTTGACGCTAAGAATTAAGTCAGTTTCGGATATTCTGCCCTAAAATGGAGCTTATCCTTGTGAAATTCTGAACCTATTTAGCTATGTTCATCTGCCTGCCTACCTATCCCCCCGGGGTAAAGTTATGATGAAGGAACCCATCTTGGCGTTAATGCAATTCCCAATGAAAAGATTTTGATGATGGTGATGAATGTATCCTCGGCCTTTCCTTGAAATTATTTGACATGGGGTCGAAACAGAGCACCAAATAATCTGGTACAACGGGTGGCCAGTTTCCCTGGCTGGTTGAGGTTGAGGTTCCTTCGGGATCCATGCAGTGTCTGTGGTTTAATACCAAATACCATATATGTCTGGATTCTCTTTCCTGTTGTTGTCATTCCATTGATCGTTCAATATGATCTGAGAATGGAACTGATTTAAATTGGAGAAATTTCGGAAAGATTGAGTATAAGTTAAGGCAGTTATTCACGTTAATCACTTAGACATCTTGTCTGTCTGCCTCCCACGGGGGCATATCATCTTGGTGAAATCTCCATCTTGGTGTTATTGCAATTTCCAGGGAAAAAAGGTGCTACCAATACCTCTAGTCTGCCGGTTCTATAAATGATGATTTGACATGGAGTCGAACCACAGAGCCAGATAATCTGGCACTACGGGACGCCATTTGCTCGCAAGACATTGTCTGTCATTCCGTAGATCGTTCTTTATGGTCTGAGAATGGAACTGGTGAAAGTTGGTGAAAGATCGGGAAAGACTCCTTTGCCGGACTAGTATTGATTGAGTATTCCTTTTACTTTTACCGAGAAGTTCTCGATGCCATCTCAACAGGATGCATGTTACGCGACTAATGAGGCACACCACTCAACTTGTCGGAACAATTATTGGGTTCGTTTGACTTTGGAAATGGCTACATCCTTTGTCACATTATCTCGACATACAAAGGATCCGAATCTATTGGCTGGGTATTTCGGACTACCAAATACTTCTCTAGGTGATGTTGCCGAATCAACAGAGCCTTGTTGTGCGACTGAGGAACGAGAAATCTGCCTGAGCTCATAACAACGTATATTCTTGTTGGTCCATCTCGATATCACACTGGGATATTGGATTCATCAGATGCGTTTGTTGGTGTTTCAGAGACCCCTTATTTTCTGATTCGTACGGCACTTGTTCGCCTGTTGGGATAGCTTTGTGCTACTTGTCATTCCGCAACATGATAACTTGACAAGAAAAAATATAGCTCGTGAACTCCAGCAAAGTGCTTGTACATGGACCGGCAGAACTATGCCACTTGAATGTTCATCATTGAAGCCACTAAAGGTCTCGTGGTAGACCGTTCTCAAGTCTACAAAATGGATGAAAAAAATATGACCGTCAACGCAGGTAGGTATACACGTAAAGCACTCAGACATTTCCTATACAGAGGTATATATAGCCGGAAATGGATTTATCGTTAATAACCCCCTCAAAAATATTGGTAAATTTTGTAAATGGTAAATCATATTACCTATATCTGCATCGGTCCATAATTGGTCATACCTCCCATATAAGGGATTATTAAGGGTTAGAATGATAAAATTTGCATTTTAAGTCATTATTTTAACAGGATGATGACATTGGACATATGTACTTACGACGCTCGCTTACAAGTAGGGAGTTATATAAGTACTTACTACGAAAATAAGGTGTTAAATAAGTAGTTTGTTTTTGGGAAAAATAGCCCAAGATTACATTCGAAGACAAAATATCTATACTAATTTTAATTAAAACTATTTAGTGTATATTTGAACATATAATCTCTTAAGCGTAAAATCTGTATTATTGTTTAAATTATATACTTTTTTGAAGTTCATTAACTGTTAAAATCTTTAAACACTCATAATATTTAGATGGATGGTTGAGGATGTATATGTAATAAATAGTTAATTTAATTATCATTACATGTGGTGTAAAACCAATTTTCAAACCTGATTTGACATTGAGGCAAAGTTTTTTTTTAACAATAAACTATAAAAACCAACAACAGTCAAAATACACAAAAAGATAACAAAGATGAATTGATTGACAATCACTTTGGCAAGACAGTAAAAGAAATAACGCATATGAACGCAAAGTTTAAAAGCCCGCTTAATGTAACCAACTTTTACACAATTAAATATTGTTTAATATTGGTGGCTAAAATGAGTGAACTATGCATGTGAGTAGATGAATGGAGTTAGTGTCTTTCTTCATCTTTAAACCAGTTGCATATGAAAGTAAAAGTGATATAATGAAAATAAAAAAATATATGTACGGCAAAACAAAAACACAAATGTTAAGAAAGAAATCATTTAATAATTATATAAAGAAAATATATAATTTTGTTTAAATAACAACTACAAAGAAACAAACCTTACAACCAATAACAATGTTGTAGAGATTTTTTAATAAAAAGTTATTAAACAATTAAAAAACAATTAATTGGAAAAACATCAATATTAATTTGTACATATTTTTTAAATTATAGCGGTTTCTTTTTTGTGTTATAAAATAAAATATATTTGAAAAATATTTAAACATATTGGTCAATTAACCTTTAAATATTTTCAATATACATTTAACGTATCCAATGTGTAATAATAATTTCTTAAGAAATCTTTATTTATTTTTATAATGATGTCATAATTTTTTAAGAAATTTTTTTAAATTACTGATCTTAATCAAACTAAAAGAAATACTTTAAATATTTTCTTCAATTTGTATACATATTTCATATTTCCTTTTAATTTTTATTTTATTTGACATTTATTGAAATCATTTAGCTTTTAAGTTAAAATTTATGACAAGAATTGAACATTTTACTTAACAAAAAACAAAAGACTTAAACAACAAACCTTTTTTTTTCATAACTTTTGTCTTTGTTTTGCATACAAACTAACTGTTTGTTGTCTAA